GTAAACTAACTGTATAAATATGTAGTTTATTGCCAGCAAGAAAGACGTTTTTAACTGTAGTCATTTCTCAAATACCAAAATCTAAAGTTCAGTTGCTATTGCTGCTTGCACTTCAAGTGAGAGCAAATGTGAAAAGTTATTTGGCCAATAAAGGAGGAGGAAGCCCTGGTATTGTTTTACAATTATGGGCAATCAGTTATCTGCAGTCGTAAATCTGGGATCCATTTCGATGCTTCTCTTGACAGCCGTTTTTGTCCTCTCTGATAGACCAGGACGACCCGGACTCTGCTCAGTTGTTTCCTTGCCATGTTTCCTGAACTGCGCGATAATTCTGTTGACTGTCGAAAGCGGGATTCCCAAATTCTACGAAATTTGCCGCTGACTTATTCCACCATCTGCTTGACCAAATATCCTTCCTCTAACAAAATCTGACAATTCGAGAGAACCTTGAGTTCTAGGCATGTTGTAGCATAAGATAATTAGTGTGCAGACCATTTTCATTTATATAGTGCTCTGTGAACACAAATTAGTTAGCATAAATCAGTTAAATGATGAAAAATTAGGTGTCTACTTACTTGTGACCACTCAGTGTAGATGTTTCATTACAGATATCTGTTTTAATATCAAATAACTTCATAATCACTGATGTTAATAAAATAAAGTTCATTGGTCAATATGAATTAATTATTGGTAAAAAACAACACTCAAACCTTCACTAATTTGTTGGTAATCAGAGAGTTTTATAGGTGCCTGGAATATCACAATAAAAGGCATCAAAATGTACATTCTTTAAATAAAGAACTGGAATACGAAAACAACTACAGAACTTACAGATAAAGACAGTATCCTAGCTTTCCTTATATTATCTTGAATAATAGGATGATCAAGGAGGATTTTTAAGGGGACACACTGGTCAGGGTAATGATCACTGCCTAAGGAGTGGTATGCAGACTGCAATTCTTTCTCCTATAAACATAACAAAAAAAACTTATTTGTATGGTAAAATTTTTTTCACTGTGCTTTGTAAAATCATTCTTTGCACTGTGGTGTTCCCAAATTAATTGATTTTCTCAGAATATTAAATATGTCTACTTTATAACTGGATATTTATAAAGAATAATTACAGAGTTTTAAACTAAGAGAAGAATCAGACTGAACACATGATGTACAGTGTAAAACAATCTTATTTACAACAAAGCAAAAAAAAAATGTGTGTACTAGTAGAGAACACAGGATCATTGGCTTTTACTGGATCAGTAATGTAGACTAGGCATCTCTCCTACTGTAGTTCTTTAAGTGTAAGCTCCCTCAAAAGTGATAGGCTCATTACATAGGCTGAATAACATCATGTAGAACTCGAGTCATCTCTTGTGCTCAAAGCAGCCTTAGGTTTACTTTCATCATCTAGCTCAACTTGCTAGTATCCAGATGCTAGATCCAGTGTCAAACCAAATGGAGCTATCTAATGTGTCAAGACATTCATCTGTTACCATGTCCATCAATCTAAATCAACATGGAACCTTGGCATACCTTCCTTCTTCCTGATAATCACTACTACTGGTGATGACCAAGTATTCTCTGAAGGTTGTATGATCCCATCTTTTCATATTCACTGTATTTCAGTGCTACCTATGTCCTTAGCATTCTAAGAAAGCCAGCTGTTGCTTTATAATACATATGTCACCTACACTTATGTTTCTGAAAGTTACTATAGTTCACCCAATTGCTAACCTGCCCCTTAAATACATGACCATATTCAATGAACATATCACTGAGTAGCTTTCCCTGTGATGGGTCTAAATTATTTACACAATTCTCAACCAATGACTTCAGCTGTTTTGGTAGCCTTGTGCTTGCTTTGATAGCCATTGCACTTGGCTGCAGTGCAATGGATGATGAAACCTTAGCATTACTGCAAGCATTATTTACTTCTATTTCACTTATCATTCCTATTAAATATTCCAGCATACAAAAGAAGTGGCCAAAGTTGGTGGGATGAGCCCGAAATCTGTTCAACGGATTCTCCACAGATTGGGTTATCGTTGCAGAGCAGCTAGATGGAAGCCCTTATTAAGACCTGCCAACATAGTGCCATGAAAGAAGTGGGCAAGTGATATGATGACCAAGCCTCTGGACTTTTGGAAGACTGTATTGTTCTTAGACGAATCAAGATTCGCTCAATTTTCGGACAGTGGAAGGATATGGGTCTGGAGAATGCCTCACCAAGACTTTTGGCTCAACAGGTTGCAGCCAACTGTGAAGCATGGTGGTTTCAGCGTGATGGTTTGGGGAGCTGTTTGGGTTAGTGAGAGATCGAGCTTAGTGGAGTGCATTGGCAACATAAATTTTGCAAAATACGTCGAAATGTTGGAGGAAGAACTCTTGCCACTTTATTCCTCGGGTTTCGTGGACAAAAACACAACGTTGTTCCAGGAAGATGGAGGACCGTGTCACAC